ACAGCTTCACTTTTGATTTTTGGTTCTGCTCTTTCCTCACATGTTGATCTTTGGTGAATTATGGCAAGTCACATGCCTTCCTAACATTTCAGTTTTCTTATCTGTAAAATGGGTAACATAACCGCTGCTTCACGGTTGTTGCCAAAGATGAATGGGTTAATGGGTGCAAACACCGCACACAGAGGGCTCCCGGCATGCTGGCCACTGTATTCCAACTGAATTCTTGTGGATTCATTTACTGTAGACACTACTCTAAGACATGGGCATGTGCACTCCCTTTAAAAACTAAAAATTAAAAAAATAGTAGGAAGTAAAGAAGAAACAGGTTTGAGAACAAAAAACTACATGAAACTAATATAACGTGTCAACTATACTTCAATTAAAACAAAAGAAAAGCAAACTTAATATTTGGATTTTGCACTTACACAGTCTTCACTCTTTGCTGACGTGGTTGGAGGGAGGGTGCAATTATGGTGTGTCTTGCATGGAAAAATCAACTGAATGCAATGAAGTATGGCTTTTCTGGGCAGAAAAGCTGTAAGTCTCTCGGGGTTTGAATCTTTGATTTTTTTTTTTTTTAAGATTTTATTTATTTGAGAAAGAGAGAGAGAATGAGCGGGGAGATGGGGAAGAGGGAGAGGGTGAAGGAGGCTTCACACTGAGCAGGGAGCCTGATGCGGGGCTCGATCCCAGGACCCCAAGATCATGACCTGAGCCGAAGGCAGACGCTTCACTGACTGAGCCACCCAGGTGCCCCTGGGGCTTTGATTTTAAATAATGATGAAGGTGGAGATTCCTATTCTGCCCATCCAGTCTTTCCCCTGATGAGGTTGTATTTTGGAACTGAAAGAACACACATAGCTTAGGGACAAAAGCAATAACAGATTTTATTCTAAAACTGTCAGGAAGTGACGCTGGAAAGACAGGTGTTGCGGTGTGTGTGTGTGCGTGTGTGTGCATGTGTTGGAAGAATATAATGACACCAGAGATGGAAACACTGAGCGGGAGAAGAAGAGCAGGGAGCTTCCAGATGGAACACATAGCTTCCATGGAGGCAATGCATCAAGCCACTGTTCCTCCTGCGATCACACGGAGACCCAAGGAGAAATGATTGCAGACGGTGGCCATAGTTCTCTAAGACTGTGAACCATTCCGTGTAATTCCTTTCTGGAGGTCTAATCTTGGTTAAAAGTTCATTTGATTTATCTTGAGGAAGACAAAGGAAGAAACTAGAAACATACCCAAGAACTGGAAAGATGTTTTGCAAGCAACAATAAGATTCTTCTCAAAGGTGCAATTGCAGATAAGTTTTATGAAAATTATGATGTAATAGAGGTCCCAGACGCCTCTTTCCTTTTACCAGGGTAATGTTGATGTCAAGTAAGATTAGCTGTCCTTTAAGATTTACTTAAATTTGGCTCAAATTCCTGTTTCGTTCATAGGAGGAAACCTGCCCCCACTGTGAATTTCCCAAAGGCAAAGATTATCTTGGTGAAATGTTAGTTTAGTGGATAAAAACACTACAACGATTGCATTTTATGTGTACATTGAGTATGTGCATGGACATGGATCTGTCACAGTTGTTTTGCCTCCTAAGACAAGCGGCATAATTCCATTCCTTTGATTGGACTTACTTTCTAAGTCAAAAGGAAGAAACAAGGAAGGAAAGGCAAACGAACCCTTCTACTACGGGTCCTTTTGGAAATAATGACAACTTTCATGTGGCCGAATTTGGACTGGTCTGATCTTAACTGTCACGTTTGGCTCACCGTGGTATACTTGTTATCTCGAGGGGTGTTTGTGCTTTTCCTACTAAATAGAGTTGGTGGCCAAGCTGGGACTCAAATCTGGATATTACAAGATCCTAAAGCAGCATGCTCGGGTGGGCCTGGGGGGTGCATCCGATGTTGTGGAGAGGACTGGGAATTTATCTGAGCGCCTGGCCTCCAGTCTCGCTCATGCTCAGTCCACGATTGTCAGCCACATCAAACCTTATCATGTTGTCTCGCTGCTTGAAATCCTTCCTGTCTGCCCTCTTGCTTTTAGCATTTAGTCCAGATTGCTCTAAATGTCCAGTGAGTCTCGGGGCGCCTGGGCGGCTCAGTTGGTTAAGTGACTGCCTTCGGCTCAGGTCATGATCCTGGAGTCCCTGGATCAAGTCCCGCATCGGGCTCCCTGCTCGGCGGGGAGTCTGCTTCTCCCTCTGACCCTCCCCCCTCTCATGTGCTCTCTCTCATTCTCTCTTCTCTCAAATAAATAAATCTTTAAAAAAAAAATAAATGTCCAGTGAGTCTCTACGTGAAACAGATGTGCTTTTTAAGGCTGCTCATCTCTCTGCATTTCTCCGCCACAACCGGGCGGTAGTTAATTCCTTCCTTCCTTCCTTCCTTCCTTCCTTCCTTCCTTCCTTCCTTCCTTCCTTCCTTCCTTCCTTCCTTCCTTCCTTCCTGTCCTGTGTTCTCTCCTGTGTCTGAGCCTTCACCCCTGCTGTTCTCTCTCCTGGAATGCCTTTGCTCATTTCATACCCAGACAAACCTCACCTTTCATGTGCGAGCTGCCATATCTGTTCCTCGGTGCAGCCTCCCCTGGCCTCCCCACTCTCCTCTGGGCCCAGTTAGTCCCTCTTAGCAGCACACACACTGTTTAGAGCTCCCATTACCCTCTTGAACCATAAACCCAAGGCCATCCTGGGAAAACCAAAGACAGCCACAGCAATCAAGATTCCCAGGAGAAGAAAGTGGCCAAGCCCATTTGCTCACTCTGTTGTTCTCCTGTTTGATGGGGGCAGAAAGAAGGTGTGATCCCGAGCCTGCCCGTAGAGGACCACCGTTCCAGCCGGCTGGTATCTGATCACGTAGCTGCTGCTTAGTCATCACCTGGTTGACTTCGTCAGAGCGGGGGAATGTGGGCAATGACAGAACTTGGTGATGTTAGCATTCCCTTATCTGGCAGGGGTAGCAGTGAACCTATTCATGCCACCCCAAACACAGATGCATCTATAACTTAATCTTTGTTATATAATCATGGTGCATGTATATTCTGCATATTCCTTCATGAAATATTTCAGGAGAAGACAGAATCAGAGATGACACTGGATGAAATCTGAATCAATCAGTGAAGAAATTGTGGATAAATTGAGTTAAGAGGTTAAGTTCAGGAAGCTGGAATATATAGCCCCATTTGATCACAAACGTATTAACAGGTTGCCACTTAAATGTGATGCAGTTCCCTCCTTGTTCTCTCTAATTCAGCCATGCTGATAGTACTTGGCTATTCCTTAGACATGCCAGGTATGTTCTTGTCTTTGATCTTGCTGTTCTCTGCCTGGCACGCCCTTGCCCATCTCTAGGTATGTCTTATTTAGATCACCTCCATTCGATGTCTGCTCAATGTCATTTTATCAGCAAGGCCTCCTTGATCACTTGATTCAAAATAGAACTGTCTCCCCAAAGGTGAAATGACCTATGACCCTGCAACTCCACTCCTAGGTATATCCCCAAGAGACATGAAGACATGAGTCCACATAGAACCTTGTGCACAAATGTTTACAGTAGCATTATTCTCAGTAGCCAAAAAGTGGAAAAAACCCAAGTACCCATCAACTAATGAGTGAATAAACAAATTATAGTAAATGCATACAGTGGAATATTATTCCTCCATGACAAGGAATGGAATACAGACACATGCTATCGCATAAACAAACCTTAAAAACATTATGGTGACTGAAAGAAGCTACACAAAAAGCCACAGACTGATTCCATTTATATGAAATTCCCATAACAGGTGAATCCAGAGACAGAAGGTAGATTAGTGGTTGCTGGGAGCTGGGGACAGAGGGCAACGGGGAGGGAATGCTAATGGTTATGATGTTTTTTGGGGAGGGGATGGAAAATGAGAATGTCCTGGAAGTAGGTAGTGCGGAAGGTTGCACCACTCTGAATACACGAGAAACTGCAGAACTGAACAACGTACAAGGGTGAATTTTATGGTATCTAAAGTATATCTCAAGGAAGCTGTTACAAAAAATGTGAACTCCCTACCTTCTTGGCACATATTGTCTCCCTTTTCTGCCTTATTGTCCTGCTAAGCCCAACTCAACATACCATTTATTCGTGTTGTTTATTGTCTGGCTTGTCCCACTGGATTATGAGCTCCACGTGATTAGAGATTTTTGTCTGTATTGTTTACTGTTGTATCCCTTGGGCCTAGAACAGTGCTTACAGTCGGTGCTCAATAAATGTGTTGAATAACTGTATAAATGTAACTATATGTACATTAAAGCTGGCACAAGAAAGTCATTTCAAAAAGATGATAAAAAGATGGTTGCTCAGAAAGGGAAAGAGAATAAAAATAGGGATGTTTTTGTGGTAGACACTGTAAGAAGTAGGGACCCAAGGTTTGGGTTGAAAACATTAGCACAGGGCGCCTGGGTGGCTCAGTCGTTAAGCGTCTGCCTTTGGCTCAGGTCATGATCCCAGGGTCCTGGGATCGAGTCCCACATCGGGCTCCCGGCTCGGCAGGGAGTCTGCTTCTCCCTCTCCCACTCCCCCTGCTTGTGTTCCTGCTCTCACTATCTCTCTCTCTGTCAAATGAATAAATAAAATCTTTAAAAAAAAAAAAAAGAAAACATTAGCACAGATGGAAAACTTCGTAAGACAGAAGACTGTTCTCTCAGGGATGACTGAAGACCCCTTTCTGGGGTCACTTTGCCTACAACTGTGTGGTCCCCGCAACTAACCTTCAATCCTTGACTCCCTTCCCTCCAGGAAAACTTGGTTTCCTTGATATTTTCAAATACAGCGTGTTTTAGGAAATGTGAGGCTCAGTAAGGCCAACAGACCAGGAGACAATTGCCATTGAAATGATAATTTGTTACTCACAGTTCCCAAAGGAGGGGGTGCACCATGCTTTGCCACGGGGGCGGGGGGGGGGGGGTAACAGGGAAGCGCCAGGTGGGTCAGGAGACAGAGGGAGGGGGGAAATGGGGGCAGGAGCTTTTACTATGGTTCCTACAGGAAGACATGGCCTTGCAGGGTAAGCAGGCATAGGACAGGCTAGTTGGAATAATTTCAGCAGATGCTGGGGCATAGGGACTGTCCCTCATTGTTTGGTACCTGGCCCCAGATGATGAGGGCAGGGGGTAGTGGCCCAGAGTATGAGAGAAGGTGGTCAGGGGCGTGGGCTCTGGATTGGTGGGTTTGCATTTGAAAAGCATGCACGTTGTCTACTGTCTCTAAGAATTGACTGGTCCTGCAAGCGCAGTCTCTCCAGGGTTAGCAAGGCCCCGGCTGTCGGAGCATCAGAATACAGAAAATAAGCCATAGCTAATGTATCGGGAGGGTACATAGCACTAAATCCTAGATCTCAGGGCTCTAGATAATCCTGAAATGCCTTGTCTGGGGAACCCAGAAGTACTTGGGAATACTGCCAGAACGGGTATGGAGGCCGTTGGTGGGGAGGCCGCATAGGGTGGCCATACACTGAGGAGCTGGTCTGCAAGGCAATGACAGCTGCCAGGTAGACAAGCCAAGTCTGTACGAATCTTAAGTCCATGAAGATGCTGAACAGACTTGTGTCAGAGAGTGCTTGTAGTGTTATAGGGACTTCAGTGCTATTTGTTTTAGGTACATTGTAAAATGATTGAGCTACATTATGAGCTCCTCACTAAAATTTTGGCCGACACCCAGGCATCACGCCTCTGCATATCTTCAGACCCGGTCAAGTTCTTATGTTGGAGGCTGTGAATGTGGGCAGCTCTTCATGATTCTGGACCATATATATTGTTATTGGATGAAATGTTTGATGTGGGTGCCAAGCGAGAGTTGGTTTCTAACAATGCATAAATTATATTTCAAATGCTTAACTTACACACACACACACACGCGCACACGCACACATGTGCACGCACACCCACGCAGAGTGTAGGATCTGCCGTTCAAGAGTCCTGGAATGGAATGGCACAGCTGCCTCACTCTTGGAATCAGGGAAATCACCCTGGTTCTTAGTTTAAAACATTCCGTGGAAATGTCTCCACAAAAGATGGACAAATCAGGGCAGCACTGTTTCCTGAAGCCTCATTGCTCCCTGACTCCCAGGCCCAGTTCTGGAGCCAATGGTGGTAGATGACCTCTTATATTTCCTGTGGCGAGAAGTCCAGCCAGTTCCCTCCATGAGGAAGTTGGCTTAGTGGCCCTGAGTAATTCCGAGGAACAGCCCAGCCTCTGAGACCCCCTTCTTGGCTATGCTCTGGAGAACAGACATAGGAACAGAACGACCATTCCACAGAGACAAGGAGAAAGGGAACAGGGGAAGATGGAGAGTTTCGGAAGCACCTGAAGCTGGAGCCTCCTTTCGTCTCTTACGTAGTATTCCTGTTTCAGGGGGAGGTAGTTGGCTGGGTTCTTCCCTTCAGTCAAACTATAAGCAAAAAAGTGAACTTATGTGGTCTGAAGGGAAGATCAAATGGGTAAATTCTGGAACTAACAGAGATGGGGCAGGAGTCATGAATATATACATGTTAGAGTCGGGGTTTGAACCCTTATCTAAAAGCCACCACTCACCTTCTCTCCCTCCGTTTATATACAGCAGGATGTTGTAGATGCTGGAAATACTCCCACCACCTGACCTCCCTCTGATTCTTCTTCCCCTTCTCCTTCTCTTCCTCCTGCCTGGCCTCGTCCTCCTCCTCACCAGCTCCATCTCTGTCTCTCCTTTCTCCTCCTGCTCCTCCCCCCCTTCTTCCTGTCCTCCTCCTTCTTTCTTCAACCCGCCTCCTCCTTCACCTTCTTGCTTCTCATGGTTATTATAGCTCCCACCTACTGACCGTTTACTGCGTTCCAAGCATTGTGTCAAACACTTCACCTACAGTGTCTCATTAAGTCACGCAGTTGGTGTTACCATCCCCACTTCGCCTCAAGGAGTTTGACACTCAAAAACAATGTGTAGCTCACCAAAGTTCTCCTGGCTCCCAAGGGCTGGGATTTGACCCCAGATTTGCCCGACTTCAAAGCTGGGGCTCTTAACTACTGTGGGCATGGCTGCTTCTATGGCTCCATATAGCCGCTTACCTTTAACTCTTAATTGTGCAGAAAAACAAAACAAAAAAACACATGGCTTTCCCTCTTGGCATGATTCAGTTGTCCTCAGGCCTTGTTGTAAATTTTGCAAAATTTCAGGGTAAATAGTAACAACCCCTCCCTCATATCGTGCTATATTTATGTAGATTGGGTTGACCTTACCTTCCTAATGACAGTCGAGATTCTGGCCCACATGGAGCTGGTCATTTCCTTCTGCATGTACTGCGCTCACCATGGTTGGTGCGTGGGGGCCCGCCTCTGGCCGTCTCTCCAGAGATCCCTCCCGCAGCTCCTTCAGGGTTGCTGGCTATCCCTCCAGGACCTTTGCTTTCCTCTAGGATCCAATATGCACCATCTGTGATTCACTGTAAGCAATTCTGACCTCTGGAAAAGAATTCATGCCTGCAAAACATAAATGATGGTTTTTAGTTGGTCACGATTATTTTTACTTTATTGTGTCAGTAATACATGTTTGAAGAGGAGTGTTTTTTTTGCCTTATTGAAGTGACTCATCATGGGATTCCCACCAAGACATGAAATAGACATAGTGTAAAGCCATTTACATAAAAGCACAAATTCCTATTGCTGAGACCACACCGTGCTTACAGTACTCTCAAATACTGACACCCGGATGGATTGTTCTCCTAGCTCAGAGGGTCACGGTGGTTCTCCATTCAAGAATAAAACCAGTAGAAACTGCATGAATAGACACTAAGGAACCAGCCTGTTTTCAAGAAGTAGCTGTAATCGGGAAAGCATTCTCTTTTCCTGACAACCCTATTTGTCGATTTGAAACTCCAAACAGCTTAGTAATTACAGATGACTTTCTAAAATCCTCTTTGCATATTTCTTTCCTCTTCCAAAATAGTTTTTTATATTTGACGTCAGTGACGAATAATCTAGGCTAATTGACTAGCATGTGGCCCAGCTTTAAGTTTTATTTATTTTTTTCCCCCTGAGGTTTTTGTGGTGAGGTGTGGAAACCACAGCGGAGGGCCTGGTAACCATGGTGACGGCATTGCCTCAGTGAAGTGGTTCTCAGAGCTCAGGCCGGGAGGCTAATTCCTATAACAAAGCCTTTTTTGTGTTCAAGAGGGCCCAGGAGAGCCCGGGGTTGTGACAGTGGCAGACAAACCTTCAGCCCGAGGACCTGTGAAGGAAAGAGGTGAGTTTTATCTTCGCTCGCATCGTTAATCATTTTATGAAAAAACGAATAAAAAATGCTGTTAAACCTGATGAATGTCCTCCTGTGATTTGACTCCTCTCCTAAAAGGTGTCATGACTTCCTTGCACGTGTTCCCACACCAGCGCGTTGGATGCTCGTCCACGTAGTCTGGACACGTCCTTTCGATCTTTCTCGTTTTGTGCCCCAAAAACACAGTGACCAAAGCCGTCTCGAATGTCTAAAAGGGACTGTAAATGCCATCCTTTCTAAAATGACTTTAAGATGGTTCCTACTGTTGGAATATTATCCTTCCTTTGCTGCTGGCTTAGTTGGTTTTGCCATTAGTTCTCCATCAGAAATGAAGGGGGCTAGGGGCGCCTGGGTGGCTCATTTGGTTAAGTGTCTGCCTTCGGCTCAGGTCATGATCCAGGGTCCTGGGATCCAGCCTTAAGTCGAGTCCAGCTCCCTGCTCAGTGGGGAGCCTGCTTCTCCCTCTGCCCCTCCCCCCTGCTGGTACTCTCTTGCTCTCTCTCCCAAATAAATAAATAAAATCTTAAAAAAAAGTGAAGGGGCTTAAAAGTAGCACCTTTTCCATGATGCATTATTTCTACGGTTGCCTGCTTTTGTCACATTATTTAGAGTTTATTGTCAACTAGCAGATCCACGTAATGAATTCAAGAGAAAATAGATCTGAAGATAACAAAATGCTTGAGATGGGAAGTTGTTGAACCTGAAAAGAGGCTCACTTTTGAATTCTAGAAAAAGAGGAGTGCTTAGTTTGAAAATTTTAGGATGGTGAAATGTGCCTGAATTCCAGCCCTTTTGATCCATGACAATAGCTACGCTGAAGGTTACAGTGGTAAAATCTTAGGTTTTGTGGCTTGATTTTGCATTTCTTATTTTCCAGGTGTGAAATTTTCGGTGAATTATTAAACCCCTTTTTGGGTGATAAAACGGGCATACAAATAATACTAACCCTCTGAATGTTGTGAATATTAAAAATGACTTAGTCTACATAGTGTGTTGAGCGCGGGGACAGTAAGGGTTCTGCACCAGGGTTTTAGACGTCCGTACATGCTTCATGGCTCCCTGATGGCTGTTAATCAGACCATGTGCATATTTCTTCAAAAACAATGACTGCAGTACAGAATGTGGTGGTGGGAAGGTCCAGTAAGGGTTAACCTAATTCTTGGCTTGTATTTGAAGTTATTTAAGATGTCGGCTTCAACTTCTGGATTTTCCAGCTTACCATAGGGTTTGCCATGGGATTGGCGAAAACTTTCTGCTCTGTATACAGCATCCTACCGTGGCGAAGGGAAGAAGGTTCTTTTTCCAACAAAGAAGAATTGGAATTAAGTGTCTGGAGATGAGTTCCCCTTCAGCAACTGGGGAAAAGGGAACGCGTAAAGGAATTCCAAAGGCAGGGAATTATAAACCGGTGTCCAGGTTCATTTCCACCCCTGGAGCCTTGAACTAGGGTTACAGATCTTTGACAGCAGAGTATCCTGTGGATCTTCAACTCAAGAATCAAAGCAGTTGAAGGTCTGACTGCATCTTCCAGTGGATGGCTTGGGTTTTGGTTCCTAAAATCACAAGGGCAGGATCTGCTGGTGTCTGTGTGTGAAGTCATGAGTCTAGGACTCTGCCGGGGTGGGGAGAAGGGGCAGGCCTCCTGGCTCTTCTTCTTTATGGCTGTGTGACCTTGAGTGGCCTTGGTGCCATCAGGAGAGCTGTGAAGAACGCCGGTACCTGACACACAGGGGCAATGTGTGTATTACATGAACATATACCGGAAGTGCTTAGCACAGCTCACGGTGCCTCCAAAACCCTCAGCTCAGGGTAGACATAAGTGCTTCCTAATGGGGTTGGGGGGCCCCTGACTGCTCAAGGGCAAGTGCTCCCCCACACCTTGCTGTGCCCCGAAATAGGTGAGCTCCCTATGGGGTGGTGCAAGGTGGGCCAGGGAGTCGTGGGGTTCTGGGCTGTGGGTGCAAGGATATTGCCTCCCCGACCCCCCTGAGCCACAAAATTGGTGGGGTCTCCCCGGGCAACAAACTCAGAAAAGGAACCACCTCTGTTAAGGGTTGTTAGGCTCCTAGTGATAGGACCCTTGACACCTCCACAAAGCTGGCCAGGGCTGGAGACATGCTCGCAGCCCCCTCTCTGTCTCTGCCTCTCTCTCTTTCCTTCTTGCTCTCTCTGTCTCTCTGTCTGTCAGCAATGCAGCAGTAGAAGTTATAGGGCAGAGGCAAATCCCAACGCACTCCAGGAGACCCAATTAACTGGGCACATGTGTAATGACCACCCAAAGAAGGTCAAGAACTTTCTTGAAAGGCTAAAAGCCTCAAAGTATGGGCATAAAAGATGTCAGGATATCAGTAAACAGGGACTCACAGGAATAGCTGTAAGTTTGCACCAAGTACCCCCGACCTACAGGGTGAGGCCTCCCCAACCCCAATCACCTTTAACAGCAGCATCGTATTTCAAAATCATAAATATAATTCATCCTCACGGTAAAAAGAAAAAAACCAAACAGAAGGGAAAGTAAAAATTCCCTTTTACTTGCTGATCCTTTTCCCAGTCTTCAGAAGTAACTATTTAATAAAGGCTAATTAGTAATGTATTAATAATTAATAAAAATTATTAATGTAGTTTTTGTATATTCTTCTAGAATTCAAATATATATTTCCTGTAAGTGAAAAAGTAAGTTGTGGAATGGTAAGAAGGCTATAGTATAGTGTAAAGGGTAGGAAATATAGTATAGTATGGGATAATACATTTTGTTCTTTTTTCTCTTTCTACGTAAAATATCCGGGCAATGTTTCCATAACAGCACATGTAGATTTTTATTGTTTTGAAAAGCCAAAGTCAATGTTACTATACTGACTTACCCAGGCTTATATTCTAGACTTTGAGGGTAGTTTCTGCTTACTTCCTATTACAAATAATGCTACCTTGAGCATTTCTTTTTTTTTCTTTTTTTAATTTATTTATTTTTTATTTTTTTAAATTTTTTTAATTCTTATGTTAATCCCCATACATTACATCATTAGTTTTAGATGAAGTGTTCCATGATTCATTGTTTGTGCATAACACCCAGTGCTCCATGCAGAATGTGCCCTCCTCAATACCCACCACCAGGCTAACCCATCCTCCTACCCCCCTCCCCTCTAGAACCCTCAATTTGTTTTTCAGAGTCCATCGTCTCTCATGGTTCATCTCCCCCTCCGATTCCCCCCCTTCATTCTTCCCCTCCTGCTACCTTCTTCTTCTTCCTCTTTTTTTTTTTTTCTTAACATATATTGCATTATTTGTTTCAGAGGTACAGATCTGAGATTCAACAGTCTTGCACAATTCACAGCGCTTACCAGAGCACATACCCTCCCCAGTGTCTATCACCCAGTCACCCCATCCCTCCCACCCCACCCCCCACTCCAGCAACCCTCAGTTTGTTTCCTACCTTGAGCATTTCTATATAGCCACTACTCTCTCTATATGCAAATATCCATAGGCTACATTCTTAAGCAGTATTTTAAGAATTTAGACTGTGTTAGTTTGTACATTTTAAATAAATGTTGCCAAATTCCTTCCCAGTTATTGTACTTACGAGCCAGCCCACTGTGTATAAGAATGTTTCTGTTTCTCATACTTAAACTTTAAATTTTTGCCAACATTGAAAGTAACTTATTTTTATTATTTTTGTCTTAGTTTCTGTGACTATGAGCCAGTTTGAGACAATTTTCCTATGCTTTCATGTGAACTACTTATTCCAATCCTGTGTTTCTCTCCCAGTTGGTGGCTCCTTACTGATTACTAAGAGCTCTTTGTATAGTGAAGAAATAAGCTCTGTCTACATATGTCATACTTATCGAGGATAGATTGTCATTTGTCTTCTGACTTTGGTTATGATGTTGTGTTTTTCTCTCATGCAGAAATTGGAAAGGGCTATGGAGTTAAATTATTAGCCTCTTTTGTGACTTCTGAGATCAGCAATCTTTAACCAGCAAGAGGGTCCCTGAGGTTGACTTGGTGTTTTAGTGATGGGTGTAGAATGTCTTGTGAGTGGAGAAGCAGTTGGGTCTCCGTAGAACAATGGGGGCTTCTCTTACTTTATGGCCCTGGGAAAATTTCAGGAAGACTAACCAAAATACCGCCACCCTACTACTTCCAAGAGAGCTTCTGGGTCTGTGGTTCTCAGCTCCCTGTAGGAGCAAACCTAAGGAAATGACACGATGCACAGCCTCATTTATTGAATATTGTGTGATGTGGGCCTTTGGTCCCAATTAATAGGGCAAGCTGTGCTTGATCCAGCTTTTGAGCTTTCCGCTGAGACAGCTGCTTGGGTGAAAATCCCAAAGGATATGTACAGAGGGAGTAGCATCCCCAAATGCCTTCCTTTCCCCCTGTAATCTCTGGGGTAAACCCAAGGGATGCCAATTAAGACAAGTCAGGAGACGTCGGGCCTATTAGTGATTTGACCACACTCCCTCTGGCCAGACCTGGAGTGATGGGTTAATAAACCGTAATCTCCAAAGGGTTCCTGATTTTTTATTATTTTGTATAATTCTTTCAGATTAATTTTTTGCCTCAGGTTATGAGGTGTTTCCATGATGGTTCGAATAAGATTTGCATTAGTTTCCTAGGTAACAAATTACCACAAACATGGTGACTTAAAACAGCAAAAATTGATTCTCTCACAGTTCTGGAGGCCAGAAGTCCAAAACCAAGGTGTCAGCAGGGCTGTGCGCCCTCCAAACGCTCTAGGGAGGATCCTTCCTTATTTTGTCCAGCCTCTGGTGGCTCCAGGCATTTGTTGGCTTGTGTCTGCATCTGTCCAGTCTTTGTCTCCATTTTCATGTGGCGGTCCCTTCTATGCCTCTGTGTGTCCTTTCCTCTCTTAGAAGGACACTATCAGATCTAGGATGATCTCATCTTGTAAGCTTCAACGTAATTGTATCTGTAATGACTCTATTTCTGAATAAACTAACTTTGTGAGGTTC